ACACGACATAGATTGCACCATTTTGCTGTGAGACTTGTTGTGTTGCACCCAGGTGAGCATAGGTGGCACCCCTGGACACTCCTCATTGTAGTCTGCCTTTCCACAAGTGACTTCTGCTCAGTTATTTGTTTTTGGTAGTTTTCTTTGGGCTGGATTTTAAATTGGCTTTTTATTGATGGTGTTCCTTTTAAAATTCCTATAGATATTTTTAGCTTGTACTAATAAAGTAATTTCACCCATTTTGTGTTTTCTTTTTAATGTGTTCTTTAACTCTTTCTTTTCAGCAGCTCCAGTCCACCCAGTTTACTCTGTTTTTAGTATTCATAAAAACTTTTGATTTACTTTTGCAAACCCGTCTCTGCCTCCCAGTATTGAATCTGTGTGCCTTGTTATCCACTTTTCAAGCATAAGACAGTACAATTGGTATTTCCTGGGGTGCTATTCCCCAGGTGGCGTTGTCCGGCGTTATTTCAAATCCTCCATATAGTCCACCTCGCCACATTAGGATCAAAAGATCCGATTGCAGTTTACCAGATTCACCGGATCTGACCTGGAGGGCCTTGCTCCCTCAAGTAATTTTACCAACCCCAGTTGGAGGGAATTTAAACCCACGGTCTATGTAGACATGAGCGTCCTCATCCCTTGTTCAAACAGTACAAATGGGATAAACTTCCCAGATTGGTTACTGGCCTTGGGGGCTCTGGGCCTCATGCAATCCCAACCCTAAATAGAATTACACTGACTGTTTTGTAATCCTTGTCCCAGTGTGAAACTTATGGTGGTTAAAACAATTCAAATTAGATCAATTTGTTTCTTTAACGTCAAAAGGATTCAATGAGAAAATTGAAATTTTACATCTCACCAAATCTCTGTAGTTATTTGGGTTCGTTGGATAGACGTGAAGTCAATCAGTTGTCCTCCGGACGTCGGTCCTCTCTTCTCTGAGATCTGTCTTTTAGGGCGAGGTAGAAAAGGATCTGAGTCCTGGTGGCCAACCATCCTGGAGGTCCCTGATGGAGCTTCAGCTATCCCACCTCTGACAAATTGTTGTGGAAATTTCACTATGCTCTTAATAAAGTCCAGAAGTCTGAGTTGTCTTTGTCTTGTTTTATTCAAAGCTTTGAAGGTACCAGTCACACAGAGTGCAAGCAGTCTGCAGGAGAGTACACATGAGTGCAG